CATAACCACTAGACCATCCCGGCAACGGAACCGCTGAACCAAGCTCAATCCAGCAAGTGAGTCATATATTGACTGTTCAGATCCGGCATGTCATATAGGTAGGAGTAAGCTATACCAGGAGCGAGGATTGAACTCGCGATCTTCTGCGTGTAAGGCAGACGTCATAACCACTAGACCATCCCGGCGACGGAACCGCTGAACCAAGCTCAATCCAGCAAGTGAGTCATATATTGACTGTTCAGATCCGGCATGTCATATGCGTAGGAGTAAGCTATACCAGGAGCGAGGATTGAACTCGCGATCTTCTGCGTGTAAGGCAGACGTCATAACCACTAGATCATCCCGGCGACGGAACCGTTGAACCAAGCTCAATCCAGCAAGTGAGTCATATATTGACTGTTCAGATCCGGCATGTCATATGCGTAGGAGTAAGCTATACCAGGAGCGAGGATTGAACTCGCGATCTTCTGCGTGTAAGGCAGACGTCATAACCACTAGACCATCCCGGCGACGGAACCGCTGAACCAAGCTCAATCCAGCAAGTGAGTCATATATTGACTGTTCAGATCCGGCATGTCATATGCGTAGGAGTAAGCTATACCAGGAGCGAGGATTGAACTCGCGACCTTCTCCGTGTAAGGCAGCAGGGCCTCAGCCAGCAATTTTGAAAAATGTTCCCTACTTCTGGCACCCCGAGAAGGAATGTTCCCTTGGGAGGGTCAGTCCCAGTGGCCCGCTGGGAACAGTGCGACCAACACATATCGAGTCAAAAGTCAGTTCACTACCGCGCGCCGTAAAAATATCTCGCGCGCCTTGTTCATCTACACGCACGGACTTCAAGTCCGGGACTTGTGAGTCTTTGCGATTAACTTGTATTGTAGATTTTAATTTCCCGCAACATGTCCATTATCAATGCTTTTGAGCGCATGATGGGAAAGGCAAAAGGATGTTCGGAGAGTAGCAGCAGCAAGGCAGCACCATCATCTGAGCCTTATGGTCACATTGCCACAGTCAGCGAGAGATCTGTTGCTAGTACCTTCGAAAGCAATGAGGATGACTCTCCAGTGACTCCTGTGGCTAAGCGTCCGAAGAGGGTGACCATTCGCGAACGCTTCGAGTGGCTTGTGCTTGCGAATAGGCCGGGCGAAGGGGCATCTTATTTGTGTCGTTTTTGTGCCAATGTTCCTTCCCATTTACGAGCCCTCGGGGATCGAAGGGAGTTTTTCTCCAACTGCCCCGTCGATGCTAAGAATAATGTGCGTGCCAAAGCTTTGGCCCATGAAAAATTATCGAGCCATAAAATATATAGTAGTGGATCGCATAAGCCTATTTGTACCTCTTTGGAGGAGGCCAAGGTTCAGCAGCTGAAGAAGAACCTCTCTGGCGACAAGGAGGGGTTGCAGCTTCTAATGAAGACCGTACTCTGGGCTATAGTTAATGAAGTGAGTTCTAAATACACACGAATGATGGTACACGACGGTCGTGTGACACGACTCGTGTCACGACCTTGCCGGGCTTTGGTTCGCAACTTTCATTCAGGTGCCTCACACAGAGCACTTTGGCGACATACTCGCACTCCAGTGCGAGCGAGATCCTGTGCTCCGCCACTGGTGCCAAACCCGCGATGCGAATGCTCGCTACACTTCACACCCAAGTATTTGCGAGTTCATCGACTCAATAGATCACATCTTGCACGAGAGAACCCGTGCATCTATCCAAGATGGAGTCTCCCGGTATGAAGCTTATTCGATTATAGTGGACGAGAGTTCATTTGTGGAAACCAGCCACTTGGCTATTTTCATAAGGTAAAGCCATAGCAGCCTACTGTAGTATACCTAAATAATGTAGGCTACAGTGACGATGTTCGTTTGATACTACGGGTTAAACACTAGATCAGATACATGAGCAAAGCGGCGAAGGGAGGATACGAACCGACTGAGGCCTTGCTTGACGCGCGAGTAATCTCGTCTACCAAAGGGGCAGAAGTGGGCAGTGTTGTGAAGGAGACCGTCGAGGCGTTCGGACTGCGCCCCGAACATATGCGAGCTTTTAGTGGTAAGCTTAGGCTGGGCTGCTCAGCGGTGTAACCGAGGATGACCGACTGATGAATAACATCAAACGATGATTTCACGGGAGGTTGTCGTCGTCGTGTGTTAATCAATGGTCGCAATGCTGCGCTAAAAAGTCCATATCAGGTGATGGAGCGAGTGCGATCAGTAGCCCAGATGACGGAGCTTATGGCTATGTGCTCCGGAACATAAACCCCAAATGTGCATTTCAACACTGCAGGTGAGATCGGTTCATCAGCTTCCCGACTCTTCCACAAGTTATTCTCAGTGCCCACCGCCTGGCACTTACCGCGCGAAGCGTCGCTGAGAACCACAACATTGTAAGTAACTTACTAGAGCAGTTACGAGAGCTATACAAGGTGTTTCATAAGTCAAACAAAAAATCTTCAGTATTATCGGAAGTTTGTTCGGAAACCGGGGAGCGCTATAGGTACGTTAATCACATAATGTGATGGCTATTAACCGTTTGTAAGCAAACTTTGAAGCAGCCTTTCATTTTCAGGAAAATATTAAAGTGCGCGTCTACCAGATGGCTAAGTGCCGATCAATCGCTACGCAGGCTTCGCACTCAGTTCATTCCCGTTCTTCTTGCATTGGAGAAAA